AGTACTTGTAGGGCATGCATCATGATAAAGCCAATCTTCTCCTAACTTTCCTAAAAAGTCAAGGTGCTTGTCTTTAGAAAACATCGTTACTCTTCCATATTACAACTCTTGGGCGTTGGTCCTTCTGATGTTGAAGCTAACAGCCATTTTATTGGGAGAACTGCATGATTTCCTTTCTTTCAACATCTGAACCAATTATATGAGGTCTTGCAAAGTTCATCTCAGTTTCTTACACAAAGTTTATTGATCTCTGACCATATTTAGTTAGAAGCCTAGTTTGCTTAGCAACCCTTTACGGTCAACAAATGCGGCTTATAGGCACTTAAGAAAAACCTGAGTTGTCCAGTGGAGGAACGTGTCTAGACTCTACAGGCGATGGGAGGTGACTTTGTTCTCTAGTTAGATGGGAACAATCTACTCTGAAGTCCGACATATGAGGTAGTGGAAATGTCTCTATGTTGTTGAAAGTGCACATACGTAATTTTTATGGCGGATCTCCAAACTGAAAAGCGTTAGATGAAGTCAGTATAGATTTGTAAATTTAGAGTGGTTTTTTTTCATTATGTATACATTTATTATGTATACATTCACTCAAAGGATGGTTGTGACAAATTTCAAAACAAGTTTTCATCTTCTTATTTGTTTTTTTGCTTCTGCCCTGTGTTTATGCTTCCCAATCTGACAGCAGCACGGCTTTCTTAGCACTTAATTGTGGCGCAGTTCTTTCACTGGGATTGTGAGATCGCAGAAACTTCTGACTTTGACAAGACAGTGTGAGGTTTCTGTCATTTTCAAGATATCTGTATGATATTACTGTATCTTAATTCGTTTTTGTGGTTTTTTTTTTAATTAAGCTTTCTAAGCAGAAGTTGCTAATAAAGACACAGGGAAAGAAACTAATGGTGTGCCTCGTGAAGATTTACACTGTTTATTGGGTAGACCAGTGAAACTGTCTTCACTAGGAAGAGGGAATTATGTTTTCTTGTCTAGAGGGAAGATCCCCACACTGACCTGAAAATTACTATTAAAATATTGATGTTTTGTAATGTTGTATGACTTATCCCTGACCATAAGCTTAATTTCCTGGGTAAATTTCCTGTTTTGAAAAATGCATGCTCCGATGAAATACTGAAAAGTACTGTGCATGACCTCCCCATCTTGAAAGCATCAGGTGAAAATCTGCCAGTTGTTTCACAGGTATATTGAAAAATACGTTGCTTGTGAATTAGGTATACAGTTGCATGTCTGATCTCCCCTGTGGCTTTGCCATTTATAATGATGAAAGTTGAGTCCTATCGTCCCGTGAACTGGACTCGCTGTGCACGCACAGCTAGGAGGAGGTGCGAACTCCTGCTCTGCGTTTCCGCGGGCATTCATTGCTCAGGACCAGGACGCTGACCTAAGTAAGTGCACTCTTTGGTACTTCTTTGCGCCCGACTGCGGAAAGCCAGCAGCATTGGGTTGGAGCCGTGGCCTTCTAGCTGGTGGCCGCAGCAGCCGAGCTATGGAGGGCAGCGTATGGTTCTCGCACGCTGGCGTATTCCGGCCGCAGATTAAGAATGTCTTTCTGTTCTGACATAACCAAGAGGAAGCAGGGCAGGAATTGAAATTCCCAGGTGTGTCTGAGTCACAATATCTCTTGGGGCTACTTTCATAGCTGTGCAGCTTTCACATCAGTTTAGGCTCAGATCTGTCTCAGTATCTGGTCTGGCAAGGTGTTGGCTAAGAGTGCATCAGATGTGTTGGGGTTTTTACGTATGGTTTCTCTTCATTTTGCAGTGTGTTCCCCCTCCTTTTGTCTATTTAATTTCATCTTCAACACACTTCTGTGACTTAGCAGTTAAGACTTTGCCCGCATGAAATAAGTGACTATAAAACACTGGAAAAGGTCACTCGGAATACAGCCAGTGGCAGACTTGTCTTGGCATTTTGCTGCTGAAAATGCAACATTATTTTTCTCTTTCCTGCCACTTGGCAGTATCTCATGGCTTTAAGTCATTTGTCTTTTGTAAAATGGCACTCTTTGTACAGATAACCTATTATGAATCATAGCAAAATCATTTTACCCACACAAAGTTGCATGAGACTAGATCTATACTTCACTAAGAATAATCTTGTCCACAAATGTGACGCTCCTGAATACTTTCCAATGAATTTTCACTGTACTTTACGGCAGTGTTTTGAGTAGTGGCAATACAGAGGACAAACAGAAACAACAAGGAGGCATAGTTCAGCAATTAGGACATTCTACTTGTTTCCTTCTGCTTTCTTAATGTTTTCAAGCTTTTGCTGCAAGGCATATCATTCACTTGCAATACCATGATAACATATCATTAACGGCTTGCGATACCATGATAGACAGACTTGTGACTCATGCATTACAGTGTTCCAATTTCTCAACACATCAGCTGCAAGAGATACAGAACATGTTTTTCCAACCCAATGCAGACAGCTGTGTGTCCATTCTGCCCTTGAAGTAAGCTGGCTGAATGCAAGTAACATTTTGATGTTATGCTAAACCCAAGCCAATGCACCCTTTCTCTCAGCGAACCGCGTTCGCTCGTGTGCAACCCTGTTATAATCCAGCCATATGGCTCCCAAACTGGAGCTGGCTCAAATCCAGTTAGCTTGGAGCACACGTGTGCCTGTCTGCACCTGAGAGATAAGCATTAGTTTAGGGAAATCTCCAATGTGTGGCTGAACCATTGTGATTTCAGGGAAAAGAGGCAGGGATTGTCTTGCACGTGCACCATCTGGTCGTAGCTAAAAGTCGTCAACGGAATCTGCCAACGGAAATTTGACCAAAGTTCTGAATTTTAGTTAAATGAAGAAAAAAATATTTTCATTTTGAAGTGCTTTTTAAATGATTCATCTCTGGCTTACTGTGTACATGTACAATATACAATAGATACTATAAAAATGTGTACAATGTGCTTGCTACCGAGTCCTTGATCTCTATAGCAACTAGGTGTGATAGGCTGGAGGTTCACTGCCTGACTGATGTAAATTAAATTAGTCCAGGTGTCATTTGATTTTGTAGAGTGTTGGTTTAGAACACCTGTAATTATTCACGTTGCAATTTTATTAGTAGTTTGCTACTGTCACCCCCTTACGGCGACTCAAAATAAGTCTCAGGGAGAGGCTTTACTGAAAATACTTTAATTACAGACTGAGTTGTTTTCCCATATCACATAAGCAAAAGATACTGTATGGTTATTACAACATCATCCCTACTTCCTCTGCTTTATTACTTTCGATAAAATTCTCAAGAAACAAAAACCCTTAGAATTTATTTTTCTGTTTCATTTCTGCAGAAGCATCATACTCTTTGTCTTACTTAAGTAGATCATTGAAGAAATAGATCAAAGCTGGGCTGTGTTATGGTTTTCCTACTGCTGTTCTTTTGAAGATTCCATTTCAGCACAGGACGAAAGCAGATTTTTAAAGGTTTTCTGGCGTGTGTTGGTGGGCACTTCATAGGCATTGCCGAAAGCACACAGTCATGAAATGTACTGAACTTCCTTTGTGTTGAAATAGAATGATACTTAAATTATATCAGGGCTTTTCAAAAACCGTTGTGGACCATGTAGCTGTTTCTCCTTACATACACATCTATGTGTGCATAAGGACTTTGCTGAACCAAACCAGGGTGAGCAGGCAACTCTGTGGCTGTTGTCAATCATTTTGGTCCCAAGCAGAATCCATACAGTATGATGATCTGTTTCTTCTTTACTTCCATCCTTGCTAAATGAGATGTCTGAGGAAACCTGAGCCAAGGGAAAGATTTTGCAATCTCTTTTGGGTAGTTATCATTCCGTCCTCTAAATGCAACAGATCCAAAAGGCCTCGTTTGAAGAAAGTTATGAAAAACAGAGATGGGCTTAGATAATGTAACTGATGACAGAAACTCAGAAAGTTTACTTTTATATACAACGATTGCCACTATTTCTTGGCATAACCTCTGTTCTGGAGGGTCTTGTTTTTATGAGGAACTGGAAGATTTGGCTCCTGCTGTGGTGTATTTGAGTCATTAGAGCCGCTCACAGCAGAGTACAAAGATTAAATGTTTCTAAACTGAAGCTGCAGGCGAACAGTTTATAGCATCAGCTGTGAGGAAGGCTCTTTCTGTGTCCAGTAAGTTTTGTCCCCTAAGTGAACTAAAATGTACCACTGCGGGTGCAACAGAAGATTTCCATTAAAGTGTATGACCCAAAGTGCAATGAAACCAACCAAAAATTCATTGTGCTGTTTTCTTAATTCCATAGCACTTACAGGTATGCCGAATATACAGATAGTCCTTCTGGTATTCTCATACAGAATCACTGGAAAACTGGTCAACAAAATCTTCAGTGCGGGATTCGTCTGATATGTCTTCACCTGCTGCGAAACATTTAGATCGAGCTGTTTAGGCTCCCTGAGTATCCAGTGGGTCCCTTCACTCATTATCAGACAGTCAGCTAAAAACTACGGGATACATTTCTCTCCAGTGTCACCTGACTTCTCTGCTGATGGAGCCAAGCTTCAAATAAACCCCACCACAGATCAGCACTTGTCTTTGTCCCTGTTCTGATCAGCCTCAAGTATTTTCCTGTGTTTCTAGGAAATGGAGAGTTACTTGGAACATACAAGAAAAGCAATGAACACTCAAGGCAGATAAAGCCAATACAAAGATGAGGGAAATCCTCACCTGCTCAGTCTTTTTTTACTATAAATACTTGGGTGGTGAAGTTAGAAGCAAAAAGAGTGGAGTTTGCAGGGCTTAAGAAGTCAGGACTAAGCCTTTATGCATACCCTTGCCCAGCCAGGGAGTGACTGTGCGGCTACTGCCTAGTTTCTAGGACACACACCTTGGAGAGTCTCTTGCAAAAAGGTCCTGCTTGACTAAGCTTTACATGGTGGAAATGAAAAAGAATCAAGACAAAAGTCCATGTTTCAGCTTTGGGAATTATTTTTTTAAAAATGGTTCATTTCTAATTGTTGGTTTTTTTTTTCACAGCTGCTTGCAGAGGACTGGCCCTTTGGCGTGGAAATGTGCAAATTAGTGCCCTTCATTCAAAAGGCATCAGTGGGCATCACAGTGTTGAGTTTGTGTGCCCTCAGTATAGATAGGTGAGACGCATTTATTCATCAAACTCTTTTCAAAATTGGCATTGGCTCAAGTTTGCCTCTCTACTCAGCCGACACAATATGAATCAGCCGAGTTTAAGCCGGTTAAACCCAGTGGGTTTTCTCGTCTTTTTAATTTGCAACGGTGTGCTGTTGCTTCAGGTACCGAGCAGTTGCTTCTTGGAGTCGCATTAAAGGAATTGGCGTGCCAAAGTGGACCGCTGTTGAAATTGTACTGATCTGGGTTATATCGGTGATATTGGCTGTTCCAGAAGCTATTGCATTTGACATGATTACGATGGAGTACAGAGGAAAGGATCTCAGAATCTGCCTGCTTCACCCCACGCAGAAAACATCCTTTATGATGGTAAGACACTGACGTGTAGAAAACCTCCAGAACAGTTCCTTGGATCTTCTCAGTGTTGTGTGGGTTGTAATGTACACAAGTATACGCGAAATGTAGGTGAATATAATGTTCAAATGAAATACTGACGAAGTTCTGAAGTATGTTGCGTATAAGAAGAGCATTCAGAAACTTTTGCCTTTTTGTGGGCTTTTAGCATCTTACTGTCTTGTCCTGTTTTCTCATCTGTAATGTACACCTTACAGAGATGCTTTTCAGGACAGATTGACCAGTTAGTTATAGCATGCTTTCCAAAATGCTCAGCATTCGACTCCTAACAGTGTTTTTGCTTTTGTTTTCCTTCTAGTTTTACAAGCAAGCCAAAGACTGGTGGCTGTTTAGCTTTTACTTCTGTTTGCCGCTGGCTATCACGGCACTTTTCTATACTCTCATGACCTGTGAGATGTTACGAAAGAAAAGTGGGATGCAGATTGCTTTAAATGACCACTTGAAACAGGTAAAAATGTATCCCTGAGAACTCTGCTGACTGTAAAGAGGATGACAATACTACCTTTACCGACTTTACTGCCACATCATTATTCTGTTTGCGTATGACAACTTCAAGACTACTAGTAAGGAGCAGTTCCATAGCAGTGGTGCTGCTGAACTCACATATATATACATTTATATGTATATTTGAGCCCTCAGAAACCTAAGGTTTTAACTGACAATTGCAAAACTTTTTTCTTCTTGTTTTGTGTTAATCCTTCAGGTTTTACAGTTTTCATTTCTTCTTTACGATAATGAGAGCTGGATATTTTGTAATGAAAACTGAAGTCATGCTGTAATCTAGAAGCTGGTGCTATAAAATTGTTAATAGTTTTGAAGCAATTTCATGCTGAGCTATAGTGAGGTTAGCAGTATATGTTAGCAGAACAAAACGCGTTCCAAAATACATTTCAAGTTAGTAGTGCACCAGACACAAACATCATACGTCACTAGAATTAATCTAGATTTGTACTGTAATGTATATTTGTGCTCCTTTCTTCTTACCTTGTTAAAGCTGTAACTGAAATCTCTTGGGGCATTTAAAATAAGACCTGACATCAAAGCACAAGAAAATGCAACTGAAAACAAGCTGGTATTTGAAAGTGATTGGGGAGACAAGTATGTTCTTCATTTTAATATAAATGACTGTTTTCATGTCCTTGATTTTTCATATTATTACTCATACTTTTTAAAATCAGAGATACAAAGAATCAGTGCAAGTCATCTAAACCAACAGAAAAGATTAAGTACATGTTCCCAGAAAATAAGGTATTTGATGTTCTCCTAACTCCTATTTTGATAGGGTTTTTATTTTGTTTATTAAACATTTGGATATTAGAAGACAAAAACAATCGAGAGAGAGACAGAAGATAGAATACTGTTCTGTCCAATTTTCTTTTTCAGAGACGGGAGGTGGCCAAAACTGTGTTCTGTCTGGTACTTGTTTTTGCCTTGTGTTGGCTTCCACTTCACTTAAGCAGAATATTGAAACTCACTATTTATGATCAGAAGGACCCCAACAGATGTGAACTTCTAAGGTGAGGCTGCGAAAATAAAATGCCTGTGTGCTGCTGACATTCTCCGTAAGCATATCTGGATTTCCTAATGAACTAGCTTATTCTGTGTGTCTGAATTCTCCCTGCTTCTTCATCTGGGACACTCTGGTTTCACTCCACTAGCAGGATCGGAAAACTCTGAGGAATCCCCCTGTTTGCCCTGGCTTCCTCCTGATCCCTTTTGGAACTGTCCTCCTGTCTTGAGGTGTTACAAGGGCAGAGGGGGAATTTTTGTCCCCGTTTTCCCTTTCAACAGAACAGCTAGGATTAAATCTATGAAGAAAACCTTGTGAATGTTTCCACCTGCCAGTGAAGGTGGTTGGATCTTCTGAAATTACTTTCATGAGAATGAACTTTGATTCAAACTTTATTATTGAGCGCAATTGTTCCTCCGTTAGTTAATCCTGTCGATATAAGCCCCTTTACTATTACGTTTAATAGTTAGTCTTGGTTGAGTGAAGCTGAGTCCAGTTTTTGTAGTCATAAACCTCTAAGAAGCCTTTTCAGAGAAAATGCGAAGTGTCTCACTTACCTTAATTTCCACACAGCTTTTTTCTAGTGATGGATTACATTGGTATTAACATGGCTTCCCTGAATTCCTGCATCAATCCAATAGCTCTATATTTGGTGAGCAAAAGATTCCAAAACTGCTTTAAGGTAAGAGGCTGCTGGGAGCTACTCCTCTGGTTAAAAGATGACTTCAGCAGTAAAATTCATTCCTTAACATGCACAAAGTGTTTTAGATGGTCCTTAAATGTTACTTTAAATTTTAACTGGGTTATGGTAGGTGTTCTCTCTCCCTCTCCAGCTGAAGCTACGTAGAAAGGAATTAAGGATTCGTAGGGACAAAAAGAGAAAGGAAAAGAGAGGAGCGTACAATAAACCTTCTCGGCACTGTGCTAATCAGTGCTACATCACTTCCTGACAGGAGCTGGCACCCAGCCACTTCAAGAGCACTGACAAAGCGGGCTTGGCCCGCACTGCAGACATTCACGTAGCCATATCCTCTGCAACCCAACGGCGAGAGCCCTGACCCCGGGTTCCCCCCATCCCGGCCGAGCGCTGAAATCAGTAGGCAGTTCTGTAAGGCAGAGGGTGCAAGTATCCGCTCGTCCCTTTCCAACTGCCAACATTTTATGAGATAGACCTGCTCATGGTTTTGTCTTGGTTTGAGTGAATGGTCCTGGACACTAATTCTCCACATGGGATTTGAGGCTCTGGATCGCATGTGGGTTGCAGTCCCTCAGTCCTTCAGCCTTCATCTGTGCTTGGAAAATGTCCAGATTTGGGCTTTTTTGTGGTCCCCTACCATCTTCACGCGCTGTGTCAGGGTTCTTACATTGCCTACCACAAATTCTTAGATCTTTATTTTGTTTCCAAGTATTTAAACTTTGGCCACTGCTAGGCTTATTGCCTGGCTGTGTAAATTCCTTACTGGCTAAATCTTTCTGTCAGAAGCCAGTCAGCTCTACATCTAGTAGTGTTCAGGTATTTCCCACACAATTGTGACAGCACAGGTTGCAGATGCTTTAGCGTCGATCTTGTCTTCCCCATCTACATCACTGGCTCCCTGAAAGTCACTGGAGCTGAGAGCACCTAAGCGATCCGTAGTACCCTGAGCATGGAAACAAATGGGTGTGTGGGATCCCGGATGGCCTTCCAGCACCCAGAGGCCAGTCAGCAGCATCAGCAAAAGGTCTGCAGTACATCTAGTAAATGTTTGAACTGTGTGTAGGTTTTCATCATTCTCCTACTTAGTTTTCTTTTCCCCCCCAGAAAAATCGAGTAAGTAACAGCATCTTGCTTAGAAGGATTACTGTGCATACATTTTTTTCCAAGAAAGATTATCAGAGAAAGGACAACAAGGAGTCGTAATTTTATTCTGAGATCCATTTAGAATTGCAGACAATGTGGGCCATTATTATATATAACTCAGTATAACTCTTCCTGCCCTCTAGCACTCTGGTTGGTTGCTGATGGGGCATCGCAGAAGTTAGTGGCCATTTGAGCAACACAGAGTTTAACCCCGTTGCTTGGCTTACTCTGTAATGCCGGAATGGCAGCTTGCACACTGGATGTTTCTTACTGTAGCGCTGAGGAAGGGCAGCGTTTCGGTTTCGGTGCTTTTTGCCACATGGGCAAAGTGAAATGATGTAAAATGTTTATTCCTTTTATTTTAACAGTCATGCTTGTGTTGCTGGTGCCAATCCAAAGATCTGTTGTCCCTGGAGGAAAGGCAGTCCTGTTTAAAGTTCAAAGCTAATGATCACGGATATGACAATTTCCGCTCCAGTAACAAGTACAGCTCTTCGTAAAACAAGCATAAAAGGTATATTCTGTCACATTAATGCTGGTGCCTTTTTAAGTAAAAGTGGCAATTACTTTTAACAAGATGGTAACGTTTAGAAAAATTTAGGGTTTTGTTTGCACAAAAAAAGAGCATAAAAAAAAAAAATTGCTCCAAAAGTGTGTCATGTTCAAAATCATGGACACTTATAAAATCGTCATTTATGGAACATGAAGAGAAGCGTAGAAAGAACAAGTCATTGTTAGCACTTGAATACTTCTGAATCAGCACTTCCAAATGATCCCCACTTCCTGTACACTAAGCTATTGTTTGTATTCACTAGAACAGTGGTAGGAACTGAAGTCACAGTAATTACTAAGCAGTATAATATAATGTTAATTGGATCAAAGCCATTATTATATATAACTCAACATATTATCTTTTATAAAGCAGATTAACCACCATCACTATTGTGTTTTTTTTTAAATAAAACATGAAATACTTTGTAATAGAAGTTTAAATGTAAAAAAGTAGCATTTTTGTCGGGTGTTATAGAGGTAGCTAATGAATATATTAAAAGATGCAGTCAAGTCGAAAGTGCATTTCACTCTGATGACTGTTTTTGCCTATTATTGTTAGAAGAAACCTCCCAAGGCCTCTATAAATACCATTTTGTAACCACTTTGTGTGTTCAGTGCATTTGGCAGCGCTTTGGGTACGGTCCATTTCACTGTTTCCACATTATTCGTGTTTAATGACAGCAGAGGAGAGCAAAACACACCGAATCCAAAAATTAATACTAATAAAAACATACAAACGATGGCTAGTATTGGAAACCAGCTATTTTTAACTGAAAACAAGTTGACTGTATCCCATTTGAACAGCGGGCATTCAAGAGCCTGATGGTTCTTTACTCGAGATGCTGTTGCGACAATTTACAACTGTTTTTGCAATCCAAATACTGTCTTGGGGCAACATCCCTTTGAAATAGCAGGTGGAAAAAAATAATGAAGGAAAACAGAGGGAGAATTTGAACTTCTATTTTCATTTAGATTTAAATTTTTGTAAAGAAAATAATTCACAAATTGTACTTCTAGAGAACAGTACTATGTAGCACACTTGTTTTCGTACTGTTTTAAAATATGTTCTTCTGTCGTTCCATATTCATGGGCTTAAGAAGATGTGTGATTAGTTTCTGCTTCTGTAAATAGTTTAGTGAAGTGTTATTAATTATAAGGTATTAAAATACGGGCAGGATCCTGTGAGAAAACAGAAACATAAAGATGCCTGTAGTAACCATGATGTGTGTTGCCAGGAGCAATGCACGTTTTGTACATACATGACAGGTCATTCTTTGGCTTTTCATTTCCTATTAACTTGTTACAGATGTCCCCAAAGACTTACTAACATATTTCGTGCACTAAAGCATGAATTTTTCAAGAAAAAAATGTCATATAACATGATTTTATGAAAAACGTTTTGAATAGGCATGGTATTTTATTATAATAAAAATATTTATCAAAACTCAGGATTTTTTTTTTTTTTAAATTTCCAGATTTCATATGTATGCATTTTTACCTTTTTTTCCAGTCTTGCTTGACTTCAGATTTTTTAATGAAGTGCCTTAAATACACTCAGGATGAAAACAGTTTTCATTAAAATTTTCAGCTGATGTTACCTTAGATGGGCTTCATCTCATCTGACTTTAGGTAGCTACAGCTACCTTGCAGAGAGCTAAAAACAGGAGAGGTGAACCCCGTTCCTGGTGTTGCCCCATCAAAAGCTAGAAAATGTATGCTTGTATAGTCAAGCTGAGGACCTACGCACATGCATTTGAGCATGGGCACGTGTGTGTTTGGGTGAGTGAGTGTGTGTGCAAGCGTCTGTGTTTTCTACTGTTAGGTTGCTGTTGCCGTCTTTCTGCAGCACATGCACGCAACTGCTATAATACTGAACTTTCATAAACAGAAATCTATTTAAATTTTTGTTCTTTACTTTTTTACCCTAACTTTCATGGTGACTTTCTCACAGTAAGCCATGAATATCACTTCACTTCACCTTGCCTGCATCTATTTCTGTGAAATGCGTTTCATCTGTTAAGGACGTATAATCAGTTAAATCCAGAGTTTGACAATGATCAGCGATATTTTCATCCAGTTATATCATTACAATATTGTACATGTATATTACTGTTATTTAAAATATAGGTGTTGTATTGGCAAATGTGTAACATATTTTTCATTTTTTCCTGGACTAATTTTTTGTTAAAACAAGTCCTGCTAAGTCAGACATTTAGGTTTTGCAAATAAAGACCATATAGACGATCCACTTTTTGGAGTTAATATATACATATTAGTACACTTCTTGTCTTTTCTGCGGTATTTTTCAAAGCAATATTTTTACTGAAGCTCTCATTTCCTGTAATAAAAATTTTCAAAACTTCTGCTCTCGTACAGTTAAAAGAATACACAGGAGAGCTCCAGTGCATCTGTGTTCTAGCTAAGAATAAATCTCTTACTACTAAAGAAAGATGGGCATTTTCTGAAGTCCTCAGTACAGGTCCATTCCTCCACCCACTGAAATCAATGAACGCTTAACCCTTCAATCCAGTTGGAGCAGAATTAGGGCAAAGCAATAGCTCTTCAAAAAACTTAGCTGACATTTGCTACCTTGTATAAAAGATAAGCTAAAAGCTCTTTTTTTTTACAAAGGAGTTGTTTAGAAAAGTTAGGAAAAAAGGGTAAAACCCGCTGGTGGGGTAGAACTGCCAGTCTAAAGCTCTCCAAGCCTCAAACAGGGACTCACACGTAGCAGAACAGCTGCAGAGGGGCGGCTCATGCATCTGTAGAGGAGTTCGATGTGCTTGCGCAGAGTGATGTGACAGAAGAAGAGTCATCTGTCCCAAGGGCTTGAAGAGTTGACACAGAATGGCTTGAGATGAAAAAAAAACCAACAAAAAAACCTTGTAAGAAACTACATCCCATCTCTGTGTTTTGGCCTTCAGGTAGTAGCTAAGTTTTACTTCCCCAGCTGCTCTGAATTCTGCCTGCACGCAGCTCTCTCGGAGTTAAGAGAGGGCATATAAGACTGGGTGGACTGAACTGCTACACTGGTACTACAGCTCGGAGAATCGAATGCAGAATTTGATGGTTATGGAGCATCTGCTGTGAGCTGTGGCATTTCTCTGTCCCAAACAGCTCTTAGTCAACACACAGCTGGCTTAGCAGGAGAATGTTGTATGTACTTACGTAATGTTAAAAGGACTTTTTAATTATTCTGTATAGCTGTGTAAAATAACTCTATTTCGTTTTCTGTGGTCACTTAAAATAGCAACTTTGTGGTTCAGACAGTGTAAACATACTAAATTACCAATAAAATATTTGTAATTTTGATTCTTTACAAAAAGATGTCTGACCTTTTTTCGTCTAGGAGGTCCCATTTAATTGTTAGTGACAGTGACGTCAAAAAGAAATAAGCAATTCAGGACTGAAAATCAAAGCTTTTGAGTGGAATAGTTTTATAGAACTGAAAACTGGAGAGAGTTCAGAGTTGCATACCCGTTGCAAAATTGTCTGATGTTTGTTGGAACAATCAGTCATGCCTGTCTTTTCTCTGTTTGTTTTTGCTCAGTGTCAGTTGCAAGCTCTTCTCTACACACCCATATATAGTCACAAATCCTCCTGTGTTAGGAACACCACAAATAAAAGGCAGGAAACTTTTGGTTTGTTAGTTTAGAAGTGCATGCACTCGCTGCTGGAATATGCCTCATGAAAACCATCATCGCTTTCTATGCTGACAGTGTAATTTTGTGCATATTTCAATTTACCCTTTTTAAAGCGGTGGAAAACAGTATCAGACTAAATATGCTGTAGCTGGTCAAATATATAACTTTATTTGCTTGCAGTATGTGTACATCCCAAAATCTGTTTGCTGCTACTGCTGTTTTATTGCAAATAGCTAGATTTCCTTTTGCTTAGTTGGTGGCCTGCTGCATCCGTATAGATTTGTCTTTTTTCGTGGTCCGAGGACCTTTAGCACATAGTTTCCTGTGTCCTGGCCCTGGAACAGAAACACCGTGTAAGTAAATATTCTACTCAATATCTCTCATGGCCTCTTCACTTCCTTTCCCTTCATCTTCGGCCCTCAGCAGTAGCACTTACATAGCGACATGGATATACATGTAGTTTACGTTCTTCAAACACTAATTCACCCTAACCACTCTTGAGACGGGTAGATCTGGCACTCTGGTATTGGCAGATCAGGATGGTCCAGCTGGCAACCTGTGGCTGGGTCTGGTCCATAAAGTGGTTCATTTTTTACTGATGCTTCCTACAGCCGGCTGCTCAGACCGGCATGCTCTTGTAGGCTGCTCAAGAAGGCCCAAGAGTTCTCCATGTACATGCTGTGCACTTCTGTTCAAATTTCTAATCCAAGTTGCTGAGTGGACGTCCACATCAGGAGATCGAGATAGACAAAAGGACTCCAAATGAGTCTTCTGTGTTCTGCTGGTCACTTTTCTTCTCAGTTAGCAGTGGTAAGATTACTGTGTTACACAGCACCAGCAGTGAGACGGTGTGTTGGCTTGCAATTGCTACTTTGAAAGTACTGTGATTAAAACCCTGGCATCCATTTGGTCTCAGTCTTTCTAAGTACTCTCATTTAGCTGTGAAGGAGGTCCCAAAGCTCACACTCACCACTGAAAAGGCACATCCCCCTCAGGCCTCTCTCCTCTTGAACAAGAAAATTCACTTATAAAGAAAATTTTACTATAATTACAACTAAAACCTGCAGAAATTTATATTTTACCTTAGTAATCAGTATCTGAAACCTCTATGAAATCTCCATAATAGGCCAAAGATGTCCTAACTGTAGGAGGTAGTATCTGGAGGAATTTTACTGCAGTGGCGTGGTAACATAGTTAGATAATGGAAGCTCAGCAGGGAGCTATGCATGTTACGGGATGTGGGGCCACATCAAAATCCTCATGTGGAACATACCTCATTAATACCTAGATGATGCCTGTCAGTGGATATCTTCAATTATGTCAGTGTTGCCATGAAACTTCCAATCCTCTGTAGCCACGCTAGAAGAGTGCCCTTGAAAAAAGTGGGAGTCAAAACCTGAAACCCAATAAAACCTGAAAGGAAACACTGGTAAGGAATTAGGGTAACTGTAGATTCTTCACAAATCACATTCTCCAAAACTTGCTTCTACTTGTTTTGCTCTTTTGGGAGCGGAATCGGGGCAGGAGGGGGGGAAGCATTTCTTGCCCATTTACCGTAATTTCCAAAAATCTATATTAGTGGCTCACAAGGTCTGGTTACCCTGAAGAAACAGCTCAGTGGTGAAACCGAGGGAGTCAGACAATGGCTCTCATTTGCAGGTACCAGGAAAAAGAATAGTGACTAATCCCCAGGATGCTCACATCTTCGTGAGAAGGATGGGTTCAACACATGTCCAGCCCTTCCAGGGGCAGGACAGAAACATGCCAAGCCAAGAAAAACAAGCTGGTGGATTTGGTAAGTTTTAGTTGGAGCTACGAGATGGCAGAATTCATGCAGACTGGATTTTTATTTTTTTTAGTGAAACTAGACTG